TGTTAGTTACTGGGGCTGTTAGTTCTTAGCACTGTTTTTGGGGCTGTTATTAGCGCTGTTATTGGGGTTTTTCCTGAGGCTGTTAGTTATTGAGGCTCGCTGTTATTGGGGTTGTTAGTTGTTAGGGCTGTTATTGGGGCTGTTTGTTATTGGGGTTGCTCTTGGGGCTGGCCATTATTGGGGCTGTCTGTGACTGGGGTCGTTCTTGGGGCTGTTGCTGGGGTTGTTATTGCTGTTAGTTGTTATTGGGGTTGTTGCTGGGCCCGTTAGTTCCTAGGGCTGTCCTTAGCGCTGTTATTGGAGCTGTTTCTCGGGGTTCCGTGCCGTTAAGCGCAGGGCGGGGATTCGTGCTGACGAACGCGGGGATTTGCGAGAAATCAACGGCAAGAACTCCGGGATTCCCCCCCCCTCCCCCCGTTCGGGATCCCTTCGATCCCGGCCGAAACCTTCGGAGCAACGGATGGCGGCGCCGCCGGCCGGACCCGGTGCCGCTCGGTTCTCCTCGCTCCGCCGCCTCCAGGCCCCGCCCCACCGCCCCGATCCACCCCCGCTTCTTCCGCACGGCGCGGCCTCACGGCGGAGAACCCAACGGAGAACCGAAGGCACCGGGATCGCCCCGAACGCCTCCCCCCGGCCGCGGATCCCCCGAAGAACGGCCGGGTCCGGCGGGAGCCACTCACCGGCACCGCGGAGGCAGACGGAGGGAGAGGGCCGCGAGGCGACGGCGGCTGTGAAGGCCTCGCCCGCCGCCGCTTCCTCCCGAGGGCCGCGGACAAAATGGCGGCGGCCGGAAGTGCCCCGCGCTCCGCCCCGCCCCGCGCCCCGCACTCTGCGCACCGCCCCGCGCCGACGGCGCAGCCCCGAGGGCCGCCGTACGCCAACGGCGTAGCGATAGGCCGCGCCGCGCGCCCCCCGCGCCCGCTCACCCCGCTTCGGCGCTGCACAAACGGCGCGGAGGGGGGGGTTACGCAGTTAGCGGAGCGCTCAAGGGGAGGGGCGGGAGGGACGGGCGCGGCACCGGAGCTCCGTTCGGCGCTAGGAGCTCATTTCGGCGCTCGGGGAGCCGCGGGTCCCGCCCCGAAACCGCCTTCTCCCATAAACAGCGAAGTGCGCACTTTGCGTGGAGGCGTGAAGAATACGGCCTACGCAGGCGGCGCGTGACCCTCGCTACGCCGTTGGCGCAGCGCGTCCCGCGCCTCGCGCCCCTCGCTACGCCGTTGGCGCAACGCGCCCCGACCTCCGCCCGCACTTTGCGTAGCGCTCCTTGACGCAGCGGCCGCGTTACGCAATGCGGGCTACGCCAGCGGGGCGACGTAAGCGCGGATGTGAATAGCGTAACCCCCCCCCCCCTACGCCCAACCCCAGGCCGCCGCCGCCGCGCCCCTCGCGTTAGGCCCGAGCTCACCTCAGGCGGCGAAAGCGCCGCTCCGGGCCCGGCCGAGCCGCCCTCCCACCGCCGGGACCCGGGAGGCGTCGCGGAGCGGTCGGGGAGGAGGAGGAGGGGGGCGGGGGGAGCGGCTCCGAGGGGCAGCGGTCCGGCAGCGGCGCCGCACTGACCTCACCGCGCTGCAGCGACGTCACGGCGCCGCCGCGCCACGCCCACACGGGGAGCAAGCCACGCCCACACGGGGAGCAAGCCACGCCCACAGTCGATAAGTCACGCCCCTTCGCGTGACGTCACGGGGCGGGGGGAAAGTGGGGCGGGGCGAAGCGGGAAAGGGCGGGAAATGCGGTGCGGTGGAGGGAAAAGTGGGGTTCGGGAACGGGGGGAGGAAACGCAGTGCAAAGGGGGGCAGGGTGCGATAAATGGGGGGGGCAGTGCATGGGGAGAGCTGCAGCGCAATGCACGGCGGGGTGAATGGGGTGCAATGCACGGGGGAGAATGAGGTGCAACGCATGGGGGGGATGGGATGCAATGCACTGGGAGTGAATGGGGTGCAATGCATGGGGAAAATGGGGTGCAATGCATGGGGGGTGAATGGGATGCAGTGCATGGGGGGAACCGCAGTGCAATGCATGGGGGAAGTGGGTTGCAATGCATGGAGGGAAACGGAGTTCTAGTGCATGGGGAGAAGGGGGTGTAGGGCATGGAGGGGAGGGGGAATCCCCCTCCAGAGGGCGGAGGAAGGGCAGCAGCAGCTCAGGTCCTGCGGGAATGGGGGATTTTCGCGACACGGGGCGATTTTCAGAGGGAAAAAACCGCCGCCAGCACACGGTGCTACAGAGGGGCCGCGCTGAGGCGGGAAGTTGACAGGGCGCCGCCATTAGGCCGAGTTCTCGCGAGAGCTCCCGAGAAGACGCGCGCGGGAGCAGCACTGGCGGCCGCCATTTCCTGCAATGACAGGAGGCTCCGTTCTCGCGAGAGCTCCCCAAGTGCGCGGCGATCACTTTCTCGCGAGAGTTCACGAAGTGAAGAGTGAGGGTGGGGCGACGCTCTCGCGAGATTTTTTTTGGGGGGGGGGGGAGGGGCGCGGGCGCCATTTTCTCTGCCGTCGGGAGGAGGCGCTGAGGAGCGGGCGGGACTGAAGGCGGCAAAGAAAAACCGAGGGGTGCGATGAAAGGAGGCCGACTGAGACGGGAGCGGAGGAAGGACGGAAGAAAACCGCAGCCTGGCGGCCATCGGGCTGCTTCAGCGCCTCCAGGCGGGAGGAGGCGCTGGGAGGGGAATAAAGCAGCGCTGTGTGGGGCAGCAGCCGCGGTTTCAAACAGGCGGCGTTAAAACCGGCTGTCAGCCTTGAGGAAGAGCCCCAGGCACAACACAGGAAACCTGGGGGCGCGTTCGCCTCAAAGAAGCAAAAATAAAGTGCCCTTCCTGCTGGGAAGCCACAACCCGAGGAGTTTTACAGGTCTTGCTGCTGATGGAACCCCGAGGGGGGCAGGAGGTGGTTTTCATCCATCAGTGCAGGAATACGGTGCAGGAATTGCTGTTGTGATGGGAGCTCTGCGTCCTCTCAACGCACAGACACGGATCTTCACGGATCTCTGTAGAACAGATCCCTGCACGGCGACCATCGCTTCCTGCTGCCCAATCTCTCCTCATTACCGGCGTCCAGCAGGAGATCGCGGAGCAGGGCTGCGCCCTGGACGTCATCTGAAGCTTCTCCCACCAGAATCGTAAGATTCTATGAGGATTGGAAGGGAGCAGACCTCTGGTGCTGTGCATCTGCTCTCCCACAAACCAGCCATCCTCATCCGTGTCTCCAAGGAGACAAATGCTTTCTTCAGCCCAGCCCAGCAGCCCGGCTCGTTGTCTGAGTTCTCATTAGGGCCTGAAAAGGATTGTTGCTACGACAAGATAAGAACCTTGGAACTATTGGAGATTGCAGGTTGCTGATGACCATCTCTTGCATAGGGTGTAAAGGAAGGGCTCTCAAGCAGCGTGAACACAGCAGACCTTTTGGGAAGTGTCCCTGCAGTGCTTCCACACTGATGGACACCTCAAGTCCACCCTGCAAGCTGCAGCTCCTGGCTCTTCAGCTCTGGCTTTTGAAAGGAGGAGATGCATGCGCACCTCAGTTTCTCTTAACCAGCTCTTATATCCTTGCTGCAGGATACCTGGAGGGCGTTCACCGTAATGGAACAAAAACAGAGTCCTTCCTCACAGGCGCCTGCAGACCTTGCATACCAAAACTGCGTGTAGGGTGGACAGTGGGGGTTCTCAGGCAGCATGAACTCCACAGACCTTTTGGGAAGCATTGGGGGGACACCAGGAAGGCGATATGGGAGGGAGCTCTCGTGAAGAATCTTCCTGAGCAGAAAGAAATTTAACACCCGAGCTGCAGTGCAGGATGAATGTATGATCTGGGTGAGTGGGAACAATTTATAACTGTGATGAGGTCAGTGCTGTGGTCACATCTTCATCCATTTATTTTTTTTTTGTTCAAGCTTTCATTTCAAGACCACGTGAACAACATCAAGCTCGGAATTATGGCGGTAACAGCAGCTTGTGAACAGCTGAAGGAGACTGAAGGGTTTGGGAAGCTTTTAGAGAATTGTTCCTTGGAAACGATGCGACTGCTGGCAGCAGAAATGAGCAGCCCCGTGGTTTTAACAAGAACTTCGTGGTTCTTTGCAAGGTTACAGACATGAAATCAGCAGATCAGAAGAGAACCTGACTGCGTCTGCTGGCTGAAGTCTGCGAGGAGAATTCCAGAGGCATCTTAACCTTCACAGATGATCTGCAGCACGTTGAGGGTGCAGGTAAAGCTTCAGACAAAGCTCTGAAGAGCGATAAACGAGCAAACAGGGAGTGACAATCTCTCTAAACAGAAGATGAGCGTGGTAAGTCTGTAGAGATGAGCGTCTCTGCTGAGGGTGCGCGTGAGCAGTATGAGAAAAGGTCCCAAATGCACAACAGCACCATGAAATTGTATGGGAGTCACGTTTGGTGCCATAGGGTGCACTGGGAAGCCCTGGGGGTTGCGCTGGGGAGGCACCAGAGCTCTGGGAGGAGGACTGTGGGACGGTGCCAGCTGCTCTCTGCCTCTGAATAATCCTTGTGGGTTCTTTACTTGGGGAGTGCTGCTGCTTTCCTGCTGTTGGGCATCGCGTGGTTTCGATCCATTCCCTATCACTGCTGGGAAAGCGACAGCAGCAAAAGCGTCAAACAACAGCAAAGAAAGCGCCGGGACTGAAAAGGTGGAAACAAAACCTGCGCCACCGTGCAGACGTAAATGAAACGGGACAGGGAGGAGATGTGGCTTTGCACTGGAGATAAATAAATCACTGGGGACGGATCCAATAAACCACAAGGGAAAAATAAAGGAGAGCTCAGAGCAGCTGGGTGCCCCCATGCCACCCCACCCCCTGTACCAGCCGAGGCTCTGCTCCTCGCTGTGCTGCATGAAAGGCTGCAACCGAGTGGAAGTTGCTGGATGTTGTGTTGAGGGACACGGTTTAGTGGGAGCTATTGGGAATAGGTGAACGGTTGGACTGGATGATCTTTGAGGTCTTTTCCAACCTTGGTGATTCTATGATTCTATGGCAAACGCCCTCAGAGCTGAGATCCGTACGTTTAATACCGCGCGCTCCTCGAAACATCACAGCCACCGTTCACAAAACATGAGAACCACCACCTCGCGTCGCTCCCGGCTTCGCAGCCCGGCACCGAACCGAAGGAACGACCTCGTCTGTGCTCCACAAAAACAAGACGCCGTTCCTCAACGCGCCGCCGCTGCTCCGCGTCGGTTCCTCAAACCGCAGCGCCGCGTGGTTGACCGATCCCCAGTAAATCGGCCGAGGGTTTGGTCCTACAGGATGGAATGCTTCTCAAAGGGCACCGTCAGCTCTTTGGCTGCTGCCTCATCCAGGAACCACAGCAGCTGCCCCGTGTGCGGCCGGACGCGGGCGGCGGGGAGGAGGTTTTCCTCATTGCCTTCTAAAATGCGCTGTTGGATGAAACAGAGGAGTTGTCACAAAAGAGAAGCGCAAAGTTCCATCCCAGCCCCATCCCAAAACGACTCCATTGCACCAAAGGAGTTACAAAGAAAGGAGTTAAAAGGAGTTATTCCATCCCAAAATGACTCCATT